GTTCAATGATCCAATTACTGTGGTAAAGTTTCTATAGGTGATTTTAAATTTAATAATTTTCGTGTTTGACCTCTGGGACCATACTCATTCGTTGTTGTAACTACAGTCGAGTATTCTTGTCTTTAGAAGTATTTCAAATTGCAAAATAGGGGACATGTTCTAATTAGTAATATAATTTAAAGTATAATGAAATATTGCGAAATAGTTGAAGTGTAAGAGTAATAAATGGAGTCTTTTGAAAGAGGATGCCTCGCCTTGGTTCATTATGCTTCGTTCATACATTTAAGAAATAGTTTTAGATAAAAATAATAACTTTATAAGGTAGATGCAAAAATTATTCGTTTTATATTAAATAAATATAGTATTTGTTATGTAATTCTTGATTACTAATCCGGGTCATTGACCCAGCCCACTCATTCGGGTTACATTTGACACCTATCTGTGGTTGGGTTAAGGGGCCCGTACGCAAGTGGCGTACGTTGGTTTTACTTGTTCTAATTAGCGTGTCACGTGATGAACCGAATGCCAATCACGCCCAGTTTATAGACTGATTACTTTATGGTTGTTGGTTACAGCAGGCAACATAACTGCAAGTTATGTTCATGTGCTTACTTAATGCGTTCGTTTCAAGTAGGCTCACTTTTAAATAGCTTCAATTTTACATCTTGCAATGCCATTTGAAATCCAATGACACTTGTATTTGATTCCCGACCGGTCAAACTTCCCCTTGTACCCTGGTCTCTCCTTAGACTAACTTCTCTATAGCATTTGGTGACCAGTCCCCCTTGTAAAGCCTTTATTCAACATTATTATTTTTTACTACAAGAGCCTAACCTGTCTTTAAAAAGCGGTTTTCATTAGGGAACTATCTCTTTTTTCAATATTGTAGTTGTAGGAAGACGCGAAAATTTTGTTTTGAATTTTTTGAAAAGGTTTTGAAATTTTTGAAAAATTAGGGACATGTACGAAAATGTGCCCCGTGATCTTTTTTAAGCGACCTTTACGCTATTGGAAGACACATTTTAAAAGAAAAAATGGGACCATTATTGAGAAAATGTTGAAGCTCTACACGTAAAGTTCCTCCAAACATGAAAATATTCCTTTAAAAATTACATGGCTTCCAGTTCCTTCAAATAGATAGGGGGATATCAAATTTGGAGAAAATCGTGTAAAATGTTTAGGTGCTAGTGTTGACCACAGTTAGACAGACGGACGTTTTGCCGTCAATGCTTTTTCGGGCCCCCAACATATGGAATCTGAATACCAAACGTGTTAGAAGTAATTTACTACGCATAGAAACAGTGTTTATTCAATTGTTTTTACCAGGACTGGGCGATAAGAGTTTTTCTGTTGAAAAAATCGCTGTTTCCCGGCGCGCCATTACAATACTTAATCTTCTTCCGATGTAAGGCGAGAAAATTAGAATATACGAATAACTTAACATCGTCAATATATGTATTATTGTATCCAGTAGTAATAATGTCCACAAAAGCAACAATTAAATATATATTTTTTTGGAAAATCCCTGACGTGCATTAGAGATCTAGGTAGACAGTACTAAGGGACAGCTACTACAAGTACGAAATTTTCAAGGTTGTGATGGGATTCAGTAAATGATAAATAAATATAAAGTAGTTTTATGAATTTCAATAGTGAGTTTTTAAATTTCAGGTGTAATGATTTAAATATATATTTCAATTTTTGTTTTTTTAGTTACTGCAGCAGATACATCATAATAAATCGTCACAACTTGTATTAATCGTATCTTCTGTCGAACTGAATACCAATATTTATGGTACTGTTTGGTCAAATGATTGAAAAATAATGTGAAGAACAGTCGTAATTTTTGCTGGCAGACTTCTACATTGTAGTTTTAACGAATGCATATAACAATTATCCCCGGCAAATGTATTATTCTTCAAGGAGTAAAATGAAAGAAACCAATACATCTGCTTGGCAGTTGTGATAAAGACTAATGAAGGCCAAAGAACCGATATTGTATCTTGTATTTTCATGTCTGTTTTGCCCTTCAAAGCGTCTTCAAGGACTAGTCAACTACATCAACTTTTCAGACCTTCCTGTTCATTATGTAACTTTCACATTTGCGTTCATTTCGAATTTTAAAACAAATGGAAAAGTAATGAATAATATTATGAGATAGTGTTATGTATAATTCCGTGTTTTGAAAATTAATAACGATATTTTGAAATATTATTTTTGAATGTCACATAAATCCGTCGAAACAATAAAGCTCCATGTTAATAATGTTCCGAAATCAGTTTTCGAAGCAATTCGTTAATGAAACTTGAAATTAAATGTATGAATTTACGAATTCATATATTTAATTTCGAAAGGCTTGAAAAGCTTTTAATGTTATTGAGACCCAGAATTTCTTCAGATGGCTTCAAAATATAATTTTGATTTAAAAGGATAGAGAAAGGTATCATTTTTACATTCAAATTATGTGTAGAGAAATAAGAACAATTAAAGTACACTCGCGTTTCTGATTTTCATTTTGGGTATTAAAACAGCTTCTCGATTGGGTCATGAACAGGGGGCCTGTTGTTCACGGTGCCACCCGGATTCGATTCTCGTTTAGGGCAATAATCGAACTTTAGTTTTCCATTACAATCGTCTCACTTTCTATAGCTGAATGTCGAAAAAAGAACTTGGCAAACACATCATCTACACATCATTAAGTTACATACAGCGCACCAGAAACATTCATTTTCTTCTCTTATAAACGAAACTACTTTAACAAGTCACAAGAAGCGGAATGCAACATTTTGAGTCCTGTGTAATTACTTTATTGTATCAATCACGGCAGTGAAGCTGCTTCTTCTTTTCAATAACTTCATCACGTGATAAATCTGCCACGTAGTGATCTTTCCTGTCATAGTGGGAAACCACCTTGGAAGGAGCTGATGGTCTTCGAGGTGAAACAACACTACGATTGCACACGCCTTTCGGCGACGGCAACTCAAATGGTAGTGTGTGCCTACATCCTCTCGATGAAGTTACCATGCATTATGCTCAGCAACGCCTATTACGGGAACACACCGTTTCTTCCCTCTTAGTGACACTATGTACAGAGATATATTTTGATCTGCCCTATTGATTCCACCCATGTGGATATTGTAATAATGCAGCAGTTGTGGCATTTAAATAGTAATATTTTCCTTGCGCTGTGAGTAATGAGACGCATAGTGTCATGGAAATATGCTATCAAAATGAATGGTAATGTAAACGACGGTGTTGTCATGGTGCAATTAACTCTTTTGTAGTCTCTCACTAGATCTGAAATAAATTTCCCATCGCATTTTCTTCAATTGTTATTTCTTCATAATATCACAAACAGAACCAATTCTGTAAGGTTTTATTGTTCCTGCGGCGTGAATGTTTCTAGTGTCTAAATCAGATAGAAGAGGGACTGCCAAAAACAAATTATCCAAATAAATATTGCAAGGCAATTAATTTAGAGAATCTGCGTAAGTCATAACTACACAATATGCCAGTCCTTTATCTGAATAGTTTACAGGCAGTGTTCCAACGCCTTGATGTGGAACCAATAAAACGGGAAAATTTATTTAGATCTAAGTATAATTGAAAAGAAGTACAACTAAAAGTACTGTAAATAATATAAGTACAACCGAACACTTTGATTTTTCAAAGATGGCTACCTTCGGCTGACGACCTTCCAGAAGGATTGGAAAGTATACGACTCAAATTTTACAAATTAAATCTAAATAAGATCCATTTACAAAGAAATTGTTTTAAAATGAACTTTTGGAGGCGTGTTTCAGCAGAAGTTTTCTTTCTGCGAAAAGAAGCTCACTTGTTATGCTCACCCATCAGTTCTCCCATCAACAAGATGATCCACGTTGAAAAATGTTGTTCTACGATAATGATTCTGAACTACACAAATTCTATATTCTACACTCGTTTATTATCCAATGTAAATACTACGATTCGACCTCCAGAACGCCATAAACACGATATATTAGTTTGAAAACTTCACCGAAATAATGGCCAATTTGTAACAGAACTACACACATCCTTCTGGAAGGACGTCATCTTTATCTGGGTTAATAATTATTTTTTTATTTTCTTTGTAGTTTATTCCCAATTTCCTTTTTTGAAAATATATTATTACAAATAAATTAAGACAGAGGATTGCATTCATGCAGAGTCAATGATATACATACTATTTGTTGGCAAATAGTGACTAATTTGAAACTTGTCGTGAGCGAGGTTTTTAAATTTATGTTCATTCACATATGTATTTTTATTCATAAACTTGATAATACCAACTCTATATACACAAAATAATATTAAAAATTCAACTGTTACACTTCCAAATAGTTTTAAACTATTCTACAATTTTGTACACACATTTAGTATCTAACAGTCAAAAAATGTTTCTGGTAACCTTAGAACCTATTTCGGATGTAGATTATTTTTTGAATATTCAATAAATATTGATCAGTATTTTTCTGTTTTCAACTTTATTCTTTCCCCATTTTCGTAACACGTAGACTTATTCGAATTACGAATGTGAGAAAAATAAGTAAAACAATTAAAAAGACATATTTTAATGATGATTCTATTTATTACAGAAAATGATAGTGAATGGGAAATATTTGACATACGTTTTTAGCATGTATTAAACATTAAATTACGCTTCGAAGCATTGTCTGTGTGCTTGAAACTACTTGGGTGGTCCCTGAATCCTTGCACTTCATGAACGCGAGGGTGGTCTTACTGAATTTCTATTTATACATATGCATTCCTGTGTTGAGAAGTAAAATACTACCATCTGGACCTCTCCTAAACATTCGCGAAGAGACTACGCCATTACATCGGCGCAAGTGTTTGGTAAGATAGTGGAAATTATTTCTCATGCTGATGTTGCTTCTGTCAGCCCACAAGAAGTGCGCCTTCTGGCCTTCGTCAAGACCTCCAGGCCCCGTCCTCCCCCTTCCGGTCGCTGACGTACTTACCGTCTCCTTCGTAAGACCAGAGGTCTCCATCTTCGGAAGACAAGCCCACGCAAGCTGAAAAACAAACGAGGCTGATTTACTGACAGTTCACGTCTGCACGGCCGGTAGGCTGCGCATCTTTGCAAGCAAAACGTGGCACTGGATTTACTCCAACGCCTTTGAGCAGCACGGAGACCCTGGGATGTGGGCCAAGGCTATTTTTTGCCTTTTGATTTTTCTCCGGAGGGTGCGAAAGGACGGGCCCTCCACAGCCCACCCCCTCATTCCCTCATCCACCTCCGAACTGGCGTTCCTCCAGACCCGAAGGCGAGTCTGCCCGAAATATTCTCGGGTACTCAACGGCGGCAGACTTGCCTCAGCGCGTCAATATAGCAGCGCATTGCGGGGGAGGGGGGTTTGTATTTACGCGTTCCGCACGCAGGCGACACCCTCAGATCTATTTTGGCGGCGAGAAGCTTCGCGCCGAGGAACAACAATGATGATTTACAGCCAGCTCCCTTGGCAGCCGCGCAAGTCTACGCGCTGCATGGAGAGTGATGAGGGGTGTGACTATTGTCATTGCTGTAGGATATCTGGTTCGGAGAGAGCGTCAGTTTATGAAATGAAAGTGAAATAAAAGTTTTATTAAAGACAAATGTCGGTTTTAGGAATGGCGTATATTATTATTATTATATTATTATTATTTATTAATTATTATATTAATTTATTATTAATTATTATTACCTCGAGGCTAGCCGTTGTCACGCTGCTCGCTTTCCACTACGGCGGCCCAGGTTCGATTGCCGATTACGCAAGATTATATAGTGTGCGTTGTTTTCCTTGCAATGTCGCAGTATATTGTGTCTGTGTGCGGGAAAATCAATTCTCACGTTGAGAAGACGCGAATATTGCGTGGGGATGTCTACGTGTTAACCAGACGTCCTCTTATAACTGGCAGAGAGGCAGGGACGTTGCGGTGCACCTTCACGGGCTTTCCGCCAAATACATACACACAACATTATTATTATTATTATTATTTACACTAAAAGATCAAGAAAATCAATAAGATTAAGATAAAACATTTTAAAATAAAATCTCCATCTTCATATAATGTAAATACCCAAAATGCTGTAACTAAAGATTTAAATTTTAGAAAATTATAAAAAGTAACTTAGACTACATCATATTTTTACTGTATTAATGTAGAAAAATGTGTTAGGAATAAAAAAAGGTAATTCTTTAGGATAAAAATATTTAAATTATATTGAATGAATTTCAATAAAAAAAACGCACATTCAAAATATAATTGTACATTATTTCGTCATAACTACATATTTAATTGTAAAATTCATTTGAATTAACGCTTACAAAAGAAGGAAGAGCGCATGTTATTATTTTGTGTTTTTGTGAGTGAATAGCCTTTCATTCTAGGTCATTAGTATTTCAAAAACATCCCAATAAATCTCACGTAATGGCTAGAATCCAAGAATAACCCATAAACTAAATTAGTAAAGATGTTTATTAGACGAAGAATAGTTTCTAATATTATTTACTTTTATTTATAAATAATAGAGAAGATCAGGTTTTCAGTGAAAAACCAAGTCTCTAATGATCATAATTTCTCAGTACAGACAACATAGAAGAGATACGAATGTCTGACAGGTTTTGCAATACAGAAACATAATTATTTTTATTGTATTAAAAAAGTTGAGAGCATGTCTTAGTGGCCAGTAATATGCTACTGCAGCACATCTTTATATCCCAGGAATGATACAAATATTCATATATTAATCTTGGCAAAAGAGCTCCTGGCGGCGGCACAGCACACTATTTGTTCTGACATAACCGAACACATATTTTTAATTTTGTATTTTACTGAAAACTGATAGATACATCATTTTTACTTCTGAATATTTGATAAGGTAGACGAGCAGAACACACAGACAGCACGAGTTTTAGTCTTTGGCTAAAGAAAATGTGTTGATTAGAGCGTCTACAGGAATGAGACGTGTCTCATTCATTTCGATGTTAACTCAAGATCTCGTGAAAAATTAAAAAAAAAATATTTGAGTGTTATTTATATATTTTCAGTCAGTTTTTGACTTCACTGTTGTGTGATAACGCGCGTATCATTTTTTCTTTATTAATTACATAAATACTTTGTGATATAGTGTAGTGTACTTCAATGGTTGAAACAGCATTGTTTCATATTGTAATGTATAATCGTCTAAGTTATTGACGTAGCAAGGAAATGGTTAAATCGGAACAAATTGTTATTCGTAACTGTTATAACCACGAAAACTGCTGCTTCATCCGTGATACTTGTTGCACTATGTATTCCAAAATTAAGTATAAATATGGTATCTCTGATATATTTGACCCAGAGCAAGTGCATTATTTCTGTTACCAATTGCCCTGGATATTAGTATCAATTGACTGACATTGTATCTCATCTTGACAGAACTCGAATATATGACAGAAACCCCTATGACTGTAATGTAGTAATACTGTGTTACTAATTACATAATGCAATTGACTTATGCATCTGATGCAAAATTCATTCGGTAGAATGAATATCTTTAGAGCAAAAGACTCCGAGCTTTTTGCAAGTGCGCGATGTTGACCCAAGGCCCGATCTGAGCATTAGCGCTATCGAATAATACAAACATTGATTTTTCCAGTCGAATAAAAAAAAAGATTTTGTATAAAGCTACTTTGCGTGCGGGAAGCTCATATTGTCGTAAAACATCTGGAAAACTTGACGTCATCGTGCAACCATTTTTTAATTTGGTGACGTCACGTTATACAGCAAAAGGACTTTTCGTACCAATGTGGCGATCGAAGATACATACTAATTGGCGCTTTTCGTATACACATAGCGATCGAAGACACATTAATGGCGCGATACTCGTGGATGGGACTTCGTTTCCACAACCACGAAGAAAGTACAGGAATCGAGTAATGATTAGTCATAGAAACATATCATGTAGAAAGTAGAGCAGCATCCTATTCAACAAACCACGCACCATGCGCGATCGTTCCTTTCTATTCCCTCATCATCATTACAATCATCCCATCATCTCTCCCAATTTTGGCGGAGTGACGTGAGAAAGTACGTTTTGCCCTAACACATCCCGTCGTATCCGGTACAGGCCAGCGGGAAGACTTTGCGGGACCTGAATCAGGGCGGAACTAACGCCAGGTAAATGAAAGAAGGAACCATTTCAATGCTTTCGATGAATTTTTTTAAAAGTAATTGATTTTGAAGGTTTGGAGTGGGAAATAAGCTTCCCCACCCTATTAAATAATATATTACCTTCCAATATTAACAAGTTGTGTTTCAGGGATTCTGTTTTATGTTCAGTAATGTAGCAGCGAAGTAATGAGGAACAAATTGCATGTTTACCAGATACATCTCAACATGCTGTAAACCATGTTTATGGTAGAACTCTGCCTTGTAAACTGAAAGGAAATGTATGAGAGGAAATGGTGGAAATGGAATCGCTCTCATCCATTTCTTCTCAGTTTACAAGATGGCGGTCGACTATAAACACATGCGTTTCAACACGTTGAGATTTATCTGTTAAATACGTAATTTTCTTCACGTTACCTAGCTGTGCACAACTGAAGATTAATCAGTCATGTTTCAGGGATTATTTAATGTTTGAAGCTAATATATATTTTTATACATTGTGGAAGATTATAATCTTATAAATAATTATTTCTTACCTAATAGCATGAAAAGAAGGAAAGAAAGAATGTATGAATTAATAAATGGATTTCAATCGGTATTGTATTATCGTTTCATCTTTCACCATCCACATTGTATCAAGACATCATCGTTCATTATTTGCATTGCATCGTCCTTCCCGTAACTTTATTTCTCTGTGCCTGCTGGTGGAGGTGGAGGTGGCGCCTGCGGTGGGCGTTTGTCAGCGTCGGGAGCAGTCGGGTGTGGCGCCCGTTTGGATTGGCGCCACGCGCTGCGGCCCTGAGCTTACATCAGGTCCTCGGAATGTCCAGCAGCCACAGCGAGGTTCAAGAGCGGACGCTTTAAGAATGGCTTCCGAGAAGCCGGTGGCGGTGGACGATTTTGCGCGTGATGCATTGCAACAAGACCCTCCCCCTCCCGCTAGCAACTTTCTTCAACGGTGGCGCTTCACGCTTCACATAAAAATAAATTGGATTCATACTCTGACCATTGGAGGCGCTAGGAGGTTGAATTCTATTCCAAAGATATGCAACAAAGTATCGCCAAATACTATAGACACAGTACATGACACTCTGCGATATATCGGGAGACATTAGAAAGTAGAACTCATAGTGGCCCGACCTGTCACAAACATTATGAAATCAAGTACAAAATGTATAAGCTAGGAATATTTTTTTAGTTTACTTACGTTTCGCAGAGTGACTACTTTTTTTCGTTTGATCGTTAATAACTTTTCATGTGGCTGGGAAGGTGTGAGCTGTGTTTTAATTGCATGAAGTAAGAAATTTAGAAGAATCGTTTTTGTTTTCTTTCCATTTCCTCGTGATGAGAAGTTGTAAGTCGCGACGTCAAAAAGTCCTTTCGGTCTTTGTGTTGTGCTCTATTAAATAAATACTGATCATTTTCCAATTAAGTGCAGATAATAAATTAACAACCCACTGTTTTGTATTGCTTATAGTATTGTACATTTAATGGGTAAACGTTGTACGATATTCGTGTCGTAACATCTAATTACAATACGAGATTGGAAATTGCCAAAAGAGGCCGTTAGGCCGAGTGTCAACCAATTGAGTAATCTGTTGTAGTCAGATACTTCACGAAACTTCATAAATAACTAATACCGTTCTGTGGAGCATTCTTTTATCACTTCTAAAATAGCCATAATCAATTTTTTTCACTTCTGAAGAATGAAAACATGGAAATTTTGGGATGACGTGTTCTTATTCTACAAAACTGTTGGTGGATGAACATAGTTTGTAAATTTCAAACATCCAATTTCTAAAAAAATATAGTATTAACAATAATTTAATATTAACTGTATTCAATTAATTCGATTTTAACTATAAAATTGTCGTACAAAAAT